AGACACTTAGGAAGAGAAGCTTGAAAATAACAATCACCAGTTCTTAATATCTACAACTTATGAAGACAAAAGTAACCTATATGTAACTATCTGAGAACAACTAAGCATAATACCAAATTTGCACAGTAAATGATGAGAGATGGAAAAGATTAATGTAAATTTATAGGCTAAATGCTTCAATGATAAGGATTTCCTCAGTAGTTATCTTTTCGAAAACACTGATTCAGAAAAGTAACACAGTTGGCAGTGGGTGATCTTTCTTTCACTTCTTAAGTATAATAATTCAAATGTAACTAATTTCATACTTGAGATTTAGAGTATCTATACAGTGCAGATGAAAATTACTAACCAACATTTCACTGAATGACTCATTAAAAATAGTAATGAGGAGATTTAGCAGTACTAAGAACAGAAAAATTCTAGTCCAATAATTTCATGACTAACACAAATGGTTCTAGAGTAAATATCACGTATAATTTAACATTTTTCTGAAAGAATGTTGGGAAGGCTCATGCCAGAAAAAAATAAAGCTAAATGCATTTAGCACATTCTGCTACAGTATGAAAACTTTTTCCTTCCAACTCTTAAGTGATTTGTCAAAATACACTGTATTCTGTGTTGACAATCTACATGTATTAGGGCAGGCAGGGTGGCACACGGTAATCTCAGTTACTGGGAAGACTGGGGCAGGAGGTTGGCATATTTGAAGCCAGTTTGGGTGATAAATATTGAGACCTGTCTCAAAATGAAAAGGGCTCGGGATGTATCTCAGTGGTAGAGGGCTCCTGGATTCAATCCCCAGAATTGGGAAGCGGAGAGAAGGTCTACATGGCTATTTGTAGCCATAGAGCTATTTGTATTTTCAGTTTTCTTCTTTCTGATCAAATAAAAGAAACTATCTGAAGCCTACAAAGGGACTAATGAACCTCTCACCATAAAAACCACCCAAACTCAGAGGTTGAGATTTGAATTCAACATAAATTTGAGCAAATGGCCTATTTAAGTATTATTTTGTCTTACATTGATTTAGTGACTTAGAAATAGATATTTAATGAATATATATCAAATAAACTTGAAAGACCTCAGATTCAGAAAGTCCTATTTCCTAGCATTGCAACTACACTGTCTGTATCATTGTAGTTAAATGAGGAAGGTGAGAGATATATAGTAAGATCATATATGTAAACTATGCATCAGCAATGTTCATATTTTAGAAATACTTCATGAGAATTATCAATATGCATTGATCCTCAGCACCATATACAAACATCATCTTAGGATAGTTTTGATAAAGATCTTGAAAGTATTACATTTTTCACACTTTATCACTTTTTCCAAGGCATGTTCAATATTTGACACTAAATTATCTTGTCAAAATAAAGTAAATCTGAATATTTTTATGCTCCACTCAACAGCATTTTGACAGGTTTTATCTTCATAGCTAACATCTTTGGAAAAGCAAAAACCATGTGAGACTACTGTACATTAACAGATTTCCTAAAGATTATCCTTTCATCTTGAATATACTGTCTTAAGTCCATAAGCTAGGACTTAAGACAATGCCAAAAATTTTTACTTCTGAACATGTTAAAGCAGTAATCTGAAGAAATATAACAGCGAGAATTTTTTTAACATGGAGAATAATGTCTATACTCAATGTACTTTAGAAAAGCCCATAAACTTACTGAAATATTCAAAAAATTTAATACTATGTGCTAACATATTTCTTCTGGGAAGAAACAATATATCTTTCATTTTATTTTTCATAGGACTTATTACTACCCCCTAAAACCAACTTAAGAACCAAGGGCATAGTTGAGTGGTAGAGTGTGTGTTAAGCAAGTACAAGGTCCTCAATTCAATCCTCAGCACCAAAGAACAGTGAAGAAAGTCATCTAAATATGTGAAAACAGAGATCCTGTTCAATCTTTTTTTTTTTTTTTGAGAGAGAGAATTTTTTTTAATATTTATTTTTTTTTCAGTTTTCAGTGGACACGACATCTTTGTTTGTATGTGTTGCTGAGGATCAAACCCAGGGCCGCACGCATGCCAGGCGAGCGTGTTACCGCTTGAGCCACATCCCCAGCCCCCCTGTTCAATCTTACCACCTATTAAGCTAAAAAAAATTTTTGTGAAAAATGGTTTCTGAAAAAAAAAAATTAATTTTTTTTTCTTTATACCAGTTCTTTACATTCTTTTCTGGTGCTTTTATAACTTCTCAATGGGACTAGGTAATTAGCTTTCATTCAGAAAAAAAATGTCACCATTTGATAACACTGGAGTATTTTCCTGACCTGCCAGTGTTTGCTAGTTGCAAGTAGATGGCTTTTTCCTATAGCTTGGTATTTTAGCAAGACATATGAAATATGTATTTGGCATTTTAGGTGCTTGTATGACATCCTAATATAACCACTGCTTACAATTTAGTTTTAAAAGATTTTAAAACATTATCAATGCCGCAGTCTGGCTGGGCACAAAATCACGAGCCACTCAAGCAGGAACAAACTTTATTTCCAAAACTCCCTCGAAAATGCCAAGCATGCGGCCTTCTCCTGGGACACTACACCAACAGGAAATCCCTCCTCCGGAATTCCGTCCTACTGCACTTCCCCAACCAATGGGAACTCTCTGGGAGTTTCCCAGAGCTCCAAAGTAGCAGGCTGAGGTGGACCACTGGGGTCTAATCTCCAATTGAATGCACATCTTAACATAATCATTATCATCTCAATGGCTTGCTGGGGTCACCTTTCATCCAAAAATGCCATGCCTCATTCCTACTTGGCTATGGTCTCAGCAATTATCTAGTAAACTATTTTTAATTCTAACAAAAAAAGGTATTTAGCCATATATGCCCTATTATTAGGCTATGGTACAAACCAGCCTGAAGAAAATAAAAGTTCAAATAATCCTCAACTTTGACTACCCAATTATCAGGCATTATGTGTAGTGTTGCATTCTATACTATCTGACTGCAGACTTTCCAAATGCTATTTGGATATAACAAACCAACACAGACTTAAAACTAGTACCTCTGCCATCCCCAAACATAAACAGACTAATGTGGTGGCAGTAAAAGAAGATTTCAAAGGACATTTTTAGCCATTATTGAGGACTAAATCAAGCTCCATATTTCATGAACAGATTTTAATTCCTCCCAACATTTTCTTCCCAGTACTGCTTCTTCAATTCCCTTGTATCTTCTGTAGCATTAGTGCTCTTAAACATATCCCAATCACCCTGAGCTTTCAAGGTCAGTAGTTCTCCTCTCAAATCTATTAGTTAGGGGCCCAGAAGTTTCTGTGTATCCACATATAAAATTCAAACAGATTATATGACCAAAAAAAAACAACACTGACAAGAACAAAACGTAAATTATTTTTTCCCCTAGTATGTAAGCTTTTTTTGGCTCACACATTTAACTATTCGATTCAACATGAGGCTCTACTATGTTCTCAGATGTGGGGATTCACCTCCTGGGAAAAAAAAAAAAAAACCCGTCCCAATCCACTTAAGTCTAGATTTCAATTAAAAATGTGAAGAAACTGCAGCGTTCCTTGGGCTTTCTACAAATTCAAATATGCGATCCTGAAGACAGCTAAAGGAAATCCCTGCCCACCTGAGCATCTATAGTAATATTTCTGCACTACCTGACATCAATAGCAAAAGAGATGAAGTGTTTTGAATTTTACCATTTATTTAGAATATTTATATTTTATAATGGTACTTTAAACCTAGGAAATAAGATAAAACTCTAAACCCAAGCAGTTATAGGATAGGTAAAGATGGACTTATGACCTGATTGTCTAGCTTATAAAAGTATGAGATAATTACTTTTCAGATGGCTGTTTTCGTTATTACTAATTATATTATACCAGTAGTGTAACTAGCAGCAAATTTGTTTTATTTTAGCTCAATGTCTAAAATTTTATCTAAGAGCAAGACAAATGTAAAGTAAATCTAAACAATACACTATTCTTACACAGACAAAAGGGATTTCCCTCTTTTATTCTTATTTTTATGACATATCAATTTGTATTCCTCATAAGAAGCATATCATTAAAAAAAAGTGTTTTCCTCCTGCATCCAATATTCATCTGTCTCCCCTAGATAATCATGAGCAGAGTTAAATGTAAAAACTTAACACATATAAAACATCATTATATTATCCCATTAAATTTTTTCCTAAATGTACTTTTATAAATCACAATTCCTAACTAAACCCAGTATCAGCAAATAGTTGTTGGGTGATGAGAAACTTAAACTTTAAAGCAACTACATAGTTGCTTTAAATCTGGCAACTCAAACTTATAAGTCAAATCTTATAACACAAATTAGAGGTGAAAAACTAAGTTTAAATTATACTGGGGATATATTATGCATTTGCATATATGCATGCCCATGTTCTAAGTTTGTTTTTTTGGGGGGGCGGAGGGGGTCACCTCTATCAAGATCAATCAGGAGGAAACAGTAATTCATTTTTTTAAGTTGGATCTAGGCACACCTTAAAAATTTCAACAGTTACTTTCTTTTATATGGTGCTACAATAAATGCTCTATAAAACTGTTGGCTGAAGCCTTAATAAGAATAAAGTCTGTTTTGAGAATAGCATTTATCATTCCCCAAAAAAGTTCAGAAAACAGTGCATATTAAAAGAGACTTTTAGCTTGGATCAGAGCAGCCAACTTTGAGAAATGGTTCTATACTTATATTTTTCTCCCTCTGCTAAATTTTTGGTCTTTTGAATGTTATTTGAGTTTTCTAAAAGGACAATACTGAGTTGACATCAACCATCTCTAAAATATCTAAGATTTTTTAAAACAATACTGTACTGAGATGCATTTGGAAAATATTCAATATCCAGATCTTGATCAAAGTAAATGAAAAACTTAAAGAGGATAGCCTAGAACACTACTAATCCTTTGCTGTATGGAAAATATAGATACCAATAACTACTAAGTGAAAATTAAGATATTACCTGGTTTCTAAGGCACACAGTTATATACAACATCTAAAGTGGGATTTATTTGATAAACTGCAGTAAGCTCTCCAGAACATTTGATGAAACTCAGGTAGAAATAGGCCAAGTATTCACATAATGTGTCAGTCTGTAGTCCAGAAAGCATTTGAACTAAAATATGTCAATCCTTACATCTGAAATCACTTAGAAATTACTGATGCAGTATTTGAAAAGTTTCCATGTGGAAGACTTTTTAAGCTGATATAACAGTACTCAATGCTCTAGAGGGTTAGGTAAACTCAATTCTCTTTTTTTCTAACAATGCCTCATTTCCACTACATAAAGCTTGGTCTCCAGTCCCACTATCCACTGTTTGCCTTACAGTAAGTTTTAGTTCGTTGTCACCACACGAAGTGATTACATTATAAAAGGCCTCTAGGTCACTCTGTTCAAATTTAACAGTTGGTTTCAATGTTGTTCCAGGAGCAAGGGAACTTTCTCCAACAATTCTCAGATTGATAAATTTGATTTTCCAAGTATTTTCCACAAAAGGGCAGCGGATAAGTCCAAAAATTTGTTCAAAAATGCCCATACAAGTGTTCCCTCGATGAACAGTGCCCGCAACACCAACCATAACTAACCCATGTGCAGAAGAAGCACATTTTAGTCCACGGGAATCTAGGTTGGGACTGAGAAAAAGAAATTCTTCTTTTACTAGTGACAATAAACGAAGGCTTACAATTTCTGCTCCATAGTAGTCTATCACATTTTGTTCTGAAGTATTGTAATAAAACCTAAGTTTGACATCATGCCAGAAGTGTTGTGGTCCCCATTCACCTTGAGGTGAGCCCAGAAAAGGATTCTGAGAATTAAGAAGTTCAAAGAACCAACGGCAGAATTCTTCTCCTAAGCGACGAAAATCAACTTTTTCAGCATTTTTTCCTTCTTTTGCCTGCTGATTGAAAAAAAATAAAAATAAGATTTACTTCTTATAACAACTTTTCTATTTAGTTAATGTATTGATTACAAGAAAGGGAAATGAGCTACATGTGAACTGACTGAACTCATTATGCATAAAAAGTAATTTTCCAAAAAGGAGAAAAAATTTTCAGAAATTTCCAGCTTAACCAGCTGAAAACTCAGTAAAGTTTAATGAAGGCTAGCTGGCCTCACTGGCATGCCCCTGTGGTTCCAGCCACTGGGGAGCTTGAGGTAAGAGGATCTCTTGAGCCCAAGAGTTGTTTGAGCCCAGTCTGGGCAACATCCTGTAGCCTGTTTTTTGTTTTTTTTTTCCCCTCCCATGGAAAGATATATTAAAAAAAAAAAAAAAAAAAAGATATGACAGCGGAATGCATTACAATTCTTATTACACATATAGAGCACAATTTTTTTTTCATATCTCTGGTTGTATACATAGTATATTAATGATGGTGGAATAAGTATACACACGTATGAATGATAAGGGAACACCATGTTCAATGCCCATGAATTTGACGTTTTAGATGAAATGGACAAATCCCTTGAAAAATGTCATAAACTAACAGGGCCCTTCAACATCAGCATGAACAGTCAATAATAATGACTTATACAAGCATTTTTTTTTTCTTCCAGTTTTGGCAGTGCTTTTACAGGTGTAGATTTGTCAAAGCCTTCAAGCTGTATGCTGCAAATAGATGCACTTTGTCATATATAAATCACATTCAATAAAGGTGATAATAAGCATTTTTATGTTTTTAAACAGATACTCTAAGCTGATTGAAATAAGTCATTTTTTTCCTATGACTAGAGCTAATTTTATTATTTTTTTTTACAAAGGAAATATTACTCCAAAATTATACTTGACATACCTGCTAGTCTCGATCTCATGATGTCGTTCTCCTATGTATTCCACACATCAAAGTACCTCATTGAGATGGTAAAAAAGCCTATGCTTATTGAATGTCTGCTATCTAATATGCTAGATACAAAGCCTGGCACTTAAGTATTATTTCCTCCCATCTTCACAATATGCCTTAACACAGATATTACTATAATTTTTTTTTGTGTGTGCATGCTGGGAATTTAACACAGGTCTTCATACTTGCTAATTTTACACTATAAACACACCCAGAACTAACCCCATCCAGCCCTATTATAACCATTTTATAGATGAAGAAAACAAGGCTCAGAAAGATCAAGTTATTTGCCTAAGCTCATGACCTATTACATGCCAGACCTTAATATTAAGTTCCATGTGCATGATTTCAAAATCCATTCTCTTGTTAGTATGTTAAGTAAAAAAAGTCTTTAGAAGATTCCTAATGTGAAGGCAAAGGAATCACCTACAATTCACTGAATAAGTATTTAAATACTCTCTATAAAATGCTCAGTGGATACACAAGAAATAGGAATAGCCAATGTCAGATGAAGAAAATCACCACAGGACTTTTTCTAGTCAAAAACTTTAAATTTCTTTCATTTTGCATTGATATCAAAGAAACTCTTAAAAATGAAAAAGAATTTGCCAACCCCAGTGATATATACCTGTAATCTCAGCAATATGGGAGGCTGAGGCAGGAGGATCACAAATTCAAAGCCAGCTTAGTAACTTAGTGAAGCCCTAAGAAACTCAGTGAGACCCTGCTTCAAAATAAAAAATAAAAAGGGCTGGAAATGTAGCTCAGTGGTAAAGAAAACCTAGTTTCAATTCCCAGTAGCAAAAAAAAAAAGAAAAAAAGGATTTATAATGGGTTTTTTTAAAAAAAAAATATTAGAGAACTAGAGTCCAAATTCAAATTAAATAAAACTTACAGTTTATACTCTGAAAGTCTATTAGTCTTCATTGATAATAAATGAAGAAAACATTTTTTTTCTCTAATAAGTCAATAGACTATTATACATGGGATTATCTACATAGTTTTAAACGGAAAAAAAAAGGTTCAGAATGTAACCACAATATCTGATTTACCTGCTGAAAGAGTCCGAGGTCCTCTGTCTTTGTAACTGGCTCCTGTGTTTCCTTCAGTTTCAGTTGCAATTGCTTTTCCCAGTAATCTTTTGTATGCTGAATTAGATTGTGTTTTTCAGTAGTTGGAGGTATTACCACCCCCTGTGTTGCCAAGTACTTAAATATGACTTCTCGGTGGACTTTTTTACGTTTAAGAAGCTCTTCTACACTTTGACTATACACTAATATTGCACGAATAGCATCTAGAAGAAATTGCAATGATTAACAGAAAATCATGAGGTACTTGTAAATGTGACTAATGTCAGCAGAAATTCTATCAAAAAACATTTAAGCTCTTGTCATGTTATTTGCTTTTGCATGAGATAGCTATTATTTTTAAAAAATAGGAAGTGGATTGTCGTTTTTGTTTTTTTAAATTCATTTATGCTTTAAACTTCCCTTATCCCTCAAAAAATATCATTGCTTACTATTGTTTCCCAAAAGTAACAGTAAAATATTCAGATTATTTTAAAAATTCATCTTTTAAGAAAAAAATTGAGCCAGAAAATTTTTTTCAATAAAGCCAAGAGATATAAATTTATATCAACCTCTAAAAATCAGTAAAATTACAGTATTTTAGGTGTCAAATAATTTTAGTTCAATTTCCTTATTCCACAAACAAAACTGAAAACAGGAGGTATCAATAACCATATTTCTAAGATATGGCAGATCCAGGACTTCTTTTTTAATTAAAAAAAAAAACTGCATATAAAGCAAACCAAAGAATATTTGTGATGTGTTAGGTATACAGAAAGGCAATATAATATACTCCCAAATACATACCTTATAAAGGTCTTGAGACAGGAAATTACAAGTATTTTTAAGGCCCTACCTCACTCCTCCCTGATGCTACTACTCTCTCTTCTCATCCATCTCAAAGTAGCTACTATCTTAGATATTTTCATTTCCTGCTGTTTTCTATATAATTGTATAGAATATGTATTCCTAAACAATATATTTACAATATTTTTAAATGTTATAAATTCAATCCATTAATAGATGTAGTTTTCTATAATCATCTTTTCACTTAATGCTTTTTAAAATTAATCTGTGGACACATGTAGCCCTACTTAATTCATTTTCACTGCTTTATTATAGCTAATTATGATTATACTACAAGGTTTCTATTCTTGTTTAGAGACTTTACTGTGCCTGTCCTATACAAACACTGCAACTTTGAACATTCTCATACATATCTCCCACTACAGACAGGGGTTAAGTAATCTCTGGGAGCTTGCTAGAAATGCAGAATTTAGAGCATACCCCAAAACTACTGAATCAAAAACCTACATTTTAATAAAATCCTTAAGGAATGGTACATTTAAAAATTTGAGAAGCCGAGGTTCAGAGGATGTCTCTCATCTTTCATTTTAAGAGATAATGTCAAAATCCTTTTCCAAAGTCATATTCTAATTTACATTCCTCCATTACTTGTCAAAGAGTTGCTGCACCTGGCACCAACACTTGTGATTTGTATTGCTAATGTTTTGTCAACCTGGTACACAGAAAAGACACACTGTGTTTTCGACTTTTATTACTTTGTTTTTTACAGAGGTTGAATGTTTTTCTTTCCTGGAATGTCTTCAAATCATGCAAACAATTTTGAACAGGGACGTTTTTATTTTTTTTTACTTATTTGCTTTACTACCAATTATATCTAGCAATTTTAATCTATTACAATTTTGAAGTTAAAACTCACCATGATTGTTAAGAAGGCAATTAACAGGCAAATATAAACGATGAAGAAGTATGTTAGTCTAAAACTATTTTCAGTCTAAATTCTTAGGTGTATTCCTTTAACGTTAAACCTAGAAATATCTACCAAAATGTGTACTACCTGGCTCTGAAAGTAATTCTTAGTACACAAAATATTCTCGGGAAAATTTTGGCTCCTGAGAGACAGGCATTCAAACCATTTTCCTTTTCATTACAGTGACTTGTTTTACGTAAAAGAAGAATCCAAAGCGTCTGTAATACCGGCCCCACTCCTGGAGAGCTTGAAGAAAAAAAGCCTGAGAAATAGCAGCTGCCTCCTCAGGAAATTGAAACTGAGAATAGAAAACAGTCTGGCTCCCCGGAAACGTGAAAAATGATTACTGCCATGCTCCAAATCCTCGAACCAACCAGCATTTGCTCACAACATCAAGGATGAAAACCTGCAAGCTGTTCCATTGCCAGCGCCACCACGTACCTCCAGGACCAGGCGGCCGGGGTCTGTGTGTGGTTCCAGAGCCGCTGAGAAGCGGCCGTGACCCGGATCCGCAGAATTCCGCCCAAGCAAGACTAGAGGACCAATACCAGGCGGGCTAGGCTTCCAATCCCTTCCACTCCCACGCTCCCACAAGCTTGGAGTCTGGGTGAGGTCTGGGCCGCCCTCGGGAAGAAGGGTCTGTCCTTACCTTGGCGGTCCTCAGGGTACACTAGGCGGTTGGTGACGGTGTCGCATAGGGCCATGATCTCGTCGTTGTCCAGTAAGCCGAGCAGGTGACGACAGCCCTCCATCTCTAAACGGCTAAGACCCGACATCTCGACCCCCGGGAAGGGGGGAGAGGACGACGCCAATACTGTTGTCTCTACCGCCCACCGGGCCCGCGCCTTAGCAACAGAAACCGGAAGTGCCTTGCCCGTCGTTCGCCGCCGAAGGGTCTCAGGTATTCCAGGCCCCTGGGCGGAAGTGAACGCTAAAGAGGTCAATTAGGAAACGCTGTGCTCCCGACTAGTGGTTCCGGGCTGTCTGGGAGCAAAGTTCCACCTATCCCGTTTAAGAGAAGCTCAGCGTTTCCACGGAGAACATCGACCTTCCATAAGAGAGCTGGGTGCAAAAAGAATCCCTGAATGCGTCGGGAGTCCTTCCTCTGAAAGAGCGCCTAGGAGGGCTACGCAGGTGCAAGTGCGTGGAAAGCCGGAGGCTGCCAGGCGCAGGGTGAGCTCCCGTGATGCCGTGGGGCGGTCCAATGGAGGCGGCTCCTCCCCGCCCACGGGCCCGGCCCCCGGGAGCGCTTGAATGTCTTCTGTGGCCACTTCAGAGCTGGGTGAGCCGATAGTTTAATATTCTTAAGTTACATAAATTAAAATAATCGTTAACATTATACTTTGAAAAGTTGAAAAAAAATGACAGTCACCTGTCGAATCCCACGTCTGACCACTTCCCAGCTGACTCCCCTTTCCAGCTGGCTGGGATCTAATACTGCCTTCATTCCACTAGTCGCCAGCTCCATCCTAGGCAGTTTAAGGTTAGGAGTTCTGGAAGGCTGGTGGCCAGGTTTTACTTCGCCATTTACTTAATTGATTGTGAGCTAGCTCCTTAAACTTTTTGACCCCCCCCAGTTTCCTGTCTCTAAATGAATCTAGTAGAGATACAGTGTCTGGCTCCTAATAGAAGCTTAGTATATGTATATTAGCTGTTAGTAGTAATAGTATGACAACTCACATATACCGAGAGAAAAAACAGCCATGCTCTGCTAGATTCAGGAATCACACTTAAACACATTCCTTGCTTCTGCCTTCTGGGTTTTATCTATACTTTAGATGAGTTAACGTTTAGCGTCTTCTCATTTAGTAGATGAAATGTGCAGCTTCTAAATGCCAATATGTGAGGATCCAGGTGAGCAAATGTTAGCACTTTTAAACAATAGCTAAATGTCATAAAATACACCGTGTGGTCTTTAAAACAAGGCACGGTTAAATTACCAATGGATGTTATTTGGTGTACCATTTACCCATTATACACCAATTCGGTTTTTTATTAAGCATTGATGAATTTCTATTTTATTACTTAAGATTGTGAAAAATCAAT